AATATCCTTTACATTGATGATAGGTTTCCAATCCATACATGTAGGATCGATGTAATGCATTTGTACAGGATTATATACTACTGAGTATGCAAATAAAAGACATAGATTAGGGGAAAAAAAATTTTATCTTTGATGATTTAATACTGAACAGCAATTAATTTCTAGCTTTTCGACAAATTGTTTCCTAATAATCTAAAGATATCATTTCAGGAATGTTGTAAGTATTTTTCCTCCTATTTAGATTAGCTATATGTCTTCTTTTTTTGATGAAATTGAAGATGTAATGAAGTTTTTTAAAAGATATCCAAATCGAGAATGTAAAAATAATTATTGTAAAATTAGAAATAAATCTAACGAAAAATAAGAATTATGATTGAGCCAAAAAGAATAAATTGGTTTCCTTAAATTATTATGCTATGGCATCTCTCCTTAGAAAGCCAGCTTTTCTTGAGTCTTAATTAATGAAAACATAAATGTTATCATTTTCAATAAAGTTTTGAAATAATTTTATCGATGGTAATATTAATGAAATTAAAAGGAATATCTAGAGAGATAAAAAACTAAAATAAGACTTTTACCAAAAGAAAATATTAAACCAAATCGGCTTTATTTTAATAGAATTTTTGAAAATATATGGAGTTTAACATTACTAAAAACAACTTTTTTAGAATGATTTATGGAAAAAAATTTGAGAAAAAAGGAGAGGAAGACGAGTGAGCAAGAAGTTCCATAAGCAATAATAGGCAAGGCATAATAGAAAAGATATAAGGCAGCTCTATAAGGCTTTAATGTATTAAAAAAAAATAGGAATTAAATGATTAAGGAACTAAAGATATGGTAGCAAAAATTAGAATTTAAAGAAGGTTTTGAATATCAGCTATCTCAAAGGATAAAATGAATGTTAATTCACCTTTTATATGGTATTTTAAGGGAGCATGGTAGATTTTGCAGCTCTTATGATGGGTATTAAGAAGAAGAGTAAATGCTTGATTATCTTTTCTTAAATTTGAAAGTGGTGAAGATAATCAATTATAGTTAGTTCTTTTAAGAATTTACTTCTGAATTGATTATGCATTTATTGTCTTTAGAATTAATCCTCTTCTTTAGTTCGATCCAAATGTATAAGAATTTAAATAGGGTGCGTTGCCTAATGAGCTATCATTGACTACATTAATGTACTTTACTGTTCTTTAATGAAGGAATAATGAATTTTTAATTAATTAATTCTGCTTGTAAACCTTTTTGTAAATTTGATTTTATTGGCTCTCAATACTCAAAGAGAAAATAATAAGGTTTTCCAATTTTTTTTTGAGTATGAAAGTCAAAATAATTATCTATTAAAAGATATTTTAATATATTTTATATACCCATTAGAAATTATCAAAAGAATTTATATTAATTATTCTACATACATTAGAAAGAAATGTCTGAAAAATATAATGTTGCAAAAACAATTTTTTTAATTTACTTGATCCTAAAATTGTGCTTTGCAGAAATTTAGTTGATTGATGAAGACTTTATTGGTCCTATTATTTAGAAAGAAGGTAATTAACATATAATAACTTTGAGGTTGGAATTGGTGGCATTAGGATAGTGTTTTGAGCTCGACTTGTGGTGAATCCTCTATTGTAGGTGGATATGAAGGATTTAATCATCAAACTTTGCTTTTTAAAACTTTTGAGCTGCCTCCGCATTATTAAATTATTATTAGATTTAAATTTTGGAGGTTTTGTAAAACATAATCTATATAGGATTGATTAATGGGAAATTAATGATGAATTTACCTTATATGTTGATAATATTCTAGTTCATAAATATATATACTCAAGTATAGATAGTTCAGTGAATATTTGTGGTTCTAGCGATTATGATTCCATAATTTAATTTGATAAAGTAGTGGATCATTTTAGTACTTCATCAACAATAATGATGACAACTATAAATGGCGGTTGGTGGGGTATTTCAGAATATCGATAATATGTTATTAAATGTTCTTTTGGATGCAATTCCTGCAATTAATATCATTGTTTTAACTAAGTTTTATTTTTTTAAATATTTAATAAAAGGTGGTTTAATATTGAAAATTGGGAAGGATGGTATCATAATGGTGATTTAATTACAGAAAAAAATGGTTTATGTGGTAACTATTAAATAAAAAAAATTAATAGGTTTTAATAGCCTAAATTCTTCTGGTGATTACCTTACGAATTCGTTCATTTTAGGGAATCATTTTGCTATCAGTTTATATTTAAAGGTGGCAATATATCAAGCTATCGTTTCTAAGGTTGATGTAGAAATCGATGAAAATATAGTATCTAATTCTTAATTGAATCGCTAAGTACCAACATTTATAGATAATACTTGTGGTAGAATACTAATCTTGCACTAGATTAATATCTATTAACTATAGCATACGAATAATGTTTTATCAATTAAAATAAAAGTAGATTTATCAAATTATTATCATAATTCTGTAAATTTTGGAATAAGAGACTTTTAATTATTTATTAAGCCTGATTAAGATACTTGTTTTGATTCAAACCTTAGTCCATTTGATGGATGTTTTTCTTCATAGTTTAGTTGTATTTAAGGGTGTAGTTATTGCATAAAGGGAAACTGCTTTTAATGTTAAGATGGATGGGAATA